CAGCAGTGATGGCCCAAGTAACTGGGGTCCAGTCACCCACAAGGGAGAGCTAGATGGAGTTTCTCACTCTGGCTCTGGCTTTGGCCTGGCCCAGCCTAGCTGCTGTTGGCACCTGGGGAGCTGGACCAGTGGATGGGAGCAATCTGTTTGTGTCTCTCTTGACCTCTCAAGTAACAGACGAATGAACAAACACCCAGCTCAGTTTTTCATTTTTCCTGAGCGGCCATTCATTAATTCCGTCAATCAGATAAGCATTCGTTTGTTGGCTGACTTTGTTAGACATTGGAGTGAACACAAGCTACAAGGCCCATTGTTGTTGTCAGCCATTGCAATACCTGGGATGGTTGTGGATCACACAGAAGACCAAATAGCTGTGAAGCTGCCAGGGAAATAGAGAAAAAAATTTTTTTCTTTAATATGGCTTCTTCCTAACACTTGGATATGTAATAAAAGATTTTGGTAAAGGAACATTTTAGATGTGAGGAAAGTGGAGTGAAACAAATAAGGGTTGAGACCAGATGTGTATCTTTTTATAAAACTAATAGAAAAAAAGGCAATTTTTTTCTAAGACAATTTGACTCTTAACCAAATGACAGCTTTAATGCTTTAATAGTAGCAACTTCTACTAGCCAGAAATACCTAGGGTCTAGGCTAGAGTTTCATTGTAAGCAAACAGGCAAACATTAAACCAAGTCTACAAAGTGTGCAAATATTTAGCAGATACAAAAGCAGTCTGCCAACCTGTGTTTGAATGTGCCATGAGGGCTGTGCCCAGTGTCTACTCAACCACCATTCCCACCAACACTCACTGCCAGGGACATTCTATTATGTCATGCTGATCAGCAGTCCTTCCGACGCGGTTGTTGATCATATTTGAAGGACTAAGTGACCACTCCTGAAGTGTAGATCTCGGATAAGAATTCTCTAAAGGCTAATCGGTCCCCGGGGGTACAGTAGAATTAATGTGCACTGGCGTCTAGCACACATATTTCGTTAAAGTCATCAGAAAGTGAGCTGCCTTCTAGACATTGTAAGAGGTCATCAGGAAGAAAAGCGTCAACTTCTTAATTTTGATTTCACGTTTTCCTATATTGGAAGAGGAGACATAGAACAAAATTGCATTGACTTAAATTGAGAATACAAAAGAAAACTAGGAAAGATCATTATGCTAACTACAGGAGCCTCTGATGTAAAGTAAGGGAAAGAGGGAATCCTGGGTTACAAAGTAGAGGAGAGCTGTGTTTGCACGGCATAGTGCAGGAGCCGATGGTGGGACCTGAGCTCCAGCAGCCACCAAGCACTCAGCAGCAAGGGCAAACCCAAGGGCACTGCTGCCAGGCTGGGGGTGTAGCTGTTGCCAACCCATGGCTGTAGAGGCTGCTGAACTACGCGTGTGTGTTTTCATTACCTCCCAGGTTTTTCTGTAGCTTTAACAGAAACTTGGCTGTGTCTTCATTCAGACTACTTTCAATTCAGCCTTTCATTTCCTCATTGTTAGAAGCAATGTTTCTAATTAACCAACCAGCTGGGTAGAGCTATTCATGACTTTAGTGGGAAGATGTGGTACAACTGTTCACGCTAAGTCAGTCAGTTGGTAAGTGTGTGGACAAAGCTGTGCTTGCCCCAACTTTGCATATTGCATTTTTAATCCCAAGCACCTCAGAATGTGACTGTATTTGGAAACAGGACCTTTATAAATATCAGTAAGACAATGAGGTCATTAGGATGGGTTCTAGTTCAATGTCACTTGTGTCACATCGGGACACCCACAGGTACAGGGGGAAGAGACCCACCCGCAGACCAAGGAGAGGCCACGCCTGCTGTCACATTGACCTCAGACGCTGGCTCCTGAACTTGCAAAGCAAGAACCAAACCCAACATTTCCAGAAGGAAGGAGATAATTAAACTCAGAGCACAGATAAATGACATACAAACTTAAAAAAAATCAATGAAGAGCTGGCTACTGCAAAACAAAGTTGATAAAACAAAATGAAGACATTACAACCAACACCACAAAAATACAACGAACTGTTGGAAGACACTAGGAATAATTATATGGCAACAGATTCAATAGCCTAGAAGAAACGAATCAGTTCTTGGACACATATAGCTTACCAGATTGAATCATGGACAAATGCAATGCCTAATTGAATCAGTAATTAAAAACAAAAAATTTCCCATCAACAAAAAGCCCAGGCAGCTCAGGTTCCTGCTACTTCTAAGGAAGATCTGGATGCAGGGCCAGACTTCTGGCTCTGGCCTGTCCTGGTCCTGACGGTGGTGACCACGTGGGCAGTCAACCAGTGGGCGCCAGAGCTCTCTGCTTCTCCTTCTGTCACTCTGCCTTTCGAAAATCGATCAAATCTTCAAGAAAAATCCATAGGAATCCTTGAACATTGTACTGTTCTCGCATCGATGTCATTTGTTCTTAGATCAAAATTATATCTTATAATTGTAAATATCTAGGAAAGATAATTTTCTGACCTGCAAATTCAGGCCCTTAAGTATGTTAGCAAGTCTTAAAATATTGAAACAAAAAAGAGCAGCTTCTTTGTCAAAGGTTTACTTAGGTTTATCAACAAGCATTTTGGGTAATCCTTTCTGAACCATCATTTTAGGTTTGTATAAATGCTTGCATTTGCAGAGTGTTTCCTCATTCTTTTCTTATCATTAAACGGGCAAACACTGGTGTAAGGCAGTGGCCACTTCTCAGCGTGACCCAACACTATCACAGTGAAACACCATCTTGTTTTTCCTTTATAGCCTCATGACTGAAGTTTCCCAATTTTTTCAAAGTGCACCCTAGGGGTCTGCAAGAATAAAGCTCTGATTACCCACTGCTATTTATGTCCAGGCCTGTTGACCAACAACCAAAAACAAGTTTTCCAAGTTTCAAAGTAATCTCTCAGGGAAAAGATCTCTCCAGCTTCCCAGACAGGAAGTCCCTATGAACACAACACCCAGTCCCAGATGAACCGAATTAGCACAGAGCTATCACCTCGGCACTGTCACGTGCAGATGGCTCCCAAAGATGTTTCCAAATACCCAGGCACGTTAGAGACTAGTTTTTTTCCATTTGGAAAGCACTTCAGGCCAAGGACATCTGGCCTTCCCTGTCATGTTCTTGACAGCTGCACTCAGCCCCCAGGAGTGCCTTTTGAACAGGATCAGTTTGACATTGGTAAGATGTCCACTTAGGACCAGAGTTCACCGATTGTAGAACTCCCACGAACTCTGGCTCATTTGCCTCGAGTGTAGTAAGCCAGACAGTGACATCAGCATGGAAGTAAGTATGTATTTACTGAAAAGTGCTGAGAAAGGAGCTAGGTAGCTCCTGCTTAATTCCTGGGCTCCTTAGAGAGAGCTTAGGGATAAAGGGTCTTAGAGATTGAACTTGGGCTTGAGAGGTGTGTATCCAATGTGTGCCTAGGTCTCTGATGGTCCCAGTGTTCATGGGTCTCCTCTGGTGTAGGTACCATCTACTTCCCAGGTGGCTACCCACCTGGAGGTGTCACCCCTATCCTTGTAAGACAGCCACGAGGGGCAGGGGCTCTGTCCCACCACAGTCTGTGGCTGGAAGTACTATGTCCACTGCCCTATTCCTCCTCCTTTCGGCCAGTCCTCTGGCCCAGTGCCCATGTTCTCTCACTTTTGAATAAATTTTATCACTTGGCATACCTTCTCTATGTCCACATGAAGAAGCCTTATTCTTGTGCATGACAAGAACCTGTAGTAAAATTAATATACCCCCTGCCCGCATCAACAGTAGCTGAGTTGTAGCCAGTCACAGGCTAGCAATTGAAGCAGTCGCTTCCCAGACACCAAACTGTTCCCAGGTCACCTCCCACCTGTTACCTATAAACACTTCCTGTTCATACGGCAGCCCTTCTGGATCAAGGGCTGCCTGATTTCTCTGAACCATTCTCTGCTCCGCTGAACTTGTTTGTTTGAAGTTCTGTTTTAAACCATAGAAATCCATGTTCTAACTGCCCCTTCAAATTACTCCTGAGTTTCTCCCATATAAAGACACAATCACATTAATTGACTTTGTTTTTGCTTTGTTAATGCATTTGTACCAGACTGCCAACTGACAATCAAGAGAAGGAAACCACTGTTAGAAAAACATCTGGTGGTCCACTTTCAACAGAGAATGAAAAATTACTGCTAGTTGACTTGCAGATGTTGTAAAACACACGAGGCAAACAAGAGAGTAGGGATGGACTCACAAGAATAAACTACACAGCAAAAAGGAGGAAGGCAACTGTAATTCAGGCACTGGGAGACCACGTGCCCCAATGTACTCAGCCAGGTGTGGCAGGGTATAAACCAGCTGCTGTAACTGCTCCAGGGCTGCCTGCTCATCAGATACCTGATCTTCCTGTGTCCAAGTCCATTTTTGGACCTGAGAGAGGAGAGGGTGTTTCCCACATTTTTTTTCTCTCACTAAAGCAGCACCCTGACCTTTCTCCCCTGTAACTACAACAAGTGGTGGAACAGCCTCTCAGACGCCTGCAGAATGATTTAATCTCCATGGGTCACTGGGGCAACCTTTCCTGGCTGCAGTGTCACTTTATGGGTAGTCTGATCTTCAGTTCTTTAGGTGCCAGGTTGCCATGTGGCATATAGAAATAGCAGGTCACTTGGTAAATGTGAATTTCAGATGAACAACAGATATTGTACTTTTAAAATACTGGATATTCTTCCACTGTCAAATGTTTCATGGTTTATTGGAAACTCCAATCTAACTGGATCTTGTAACCTCTGAACCTACAAAGGGCAAAACAACACTTTTCTGAACCAATTGGACTGGCAGTGATCCTAATTAAAAAGCAAAGTTCGAGAAACACCCACTTTTAGGGCGTTCTTTCCTTTAGTCTCCAAGCTATGTTCCTTGTAAAATGTGATAGAGCCATAAGAAATATGGAGAAAGGTTCACTCGGAAGTAGTCTTTTATATTTAAATATTTTATGAAGATACACATACAAATATAATTTCCCAAGGAACAAATGCAAAAACAAATGCAAATCACCCTTTTACAATGCGAGCAATCACATGGAAGATGTGGTTGCTATGTACAACTTAACAGTTTCCATGTTCAAGCCTGCCCATGGAGGAAGCTTAAGACCAAGTGTTCTCTGAGGACACAGGTTATAGTTACATTTTTCACACAGCAATTTACTGTTGTGTACTTTGCAAAAATATCTTATTCAACAACAACAACAAGAAAAAAAAAAACCCACAACTTCTTGCAGGGTAAAAAAATTCTAGAGTTTCAAAGAAAAGTAATTTTCCTTCTTAGCCTTATGAGGCCAAAAATACTTGTCCTGACTTCTCTACTCTATGAGTGAGGCACACAGCATCCTTTCCAAGCATCATTCAAGTAAAAAAGATATTAAAAAAAATTTACAAAGTCAGTTAAAAGTTTCATTTTCCCAGAAAAATACATTAAAAGTCAAGAAATAGCTTTTATTTCCCCAAGAAAAACACCTTGGAAAGTCTCTAAAGTTATGAAAACCATTATTATAGAAAATACATAAAATCATTACTGATGTGCATTTGAAACATTGTCTCTAGGCACAGGAAAATACAATATATTGAAAGAGCTAAATAAGTTAAAAAAAAACTTTTAAGAGGAAAGGCAAGGATTTTGGGCAGATCAGATTACTACTTAGGAAATCATGATTAGCCACTTAAGGACTCTGAGAAAATGAAATTAAATGAGAATTTCAAATTCATAACTACAGGAATACGCAACGTTCTGACACTTTGGCAATAAGAAAATGCAGTTAGTTCTGCGAGTATTTGGTACCTAAGTCAAGTGAGGCAGCACAGCAGCGAAACAGGCACAGAATCTACCACAGTATATAGCTGGCTAACTCAGTGTTGCTAACTTACCGCTGCTTTACAGGGAACAGATCCTGAGTTTTCTCACACGAAAGCATTTTACTGCCTTATTGATGCATTTTGTCTTGGATCATTCAATTGATTTAGTGCTCAAAAGTTTCATGACTGTTGTGACTAGGAAGATATAATGTCATGTTTAAGGTCATGCAACACGGGTAGTAAAAGCACACAAGTGCACTCCCATGCTCAGAAAGTGTGTGCTCTTGCCATATCAACATCCCCGAATTTCATCTCAGAATAAAAAGGACTTCAGGAAAACCAGCAGCACAGCCCATAGCCCAGACTGCACCATGCATCTTTGGGCAAATGGGTTGCTGATAATCAGTTAGGTGCAGCAAAGGACAGAATGTAAGCAGATCTAATCAGTTTTTGGGGTTGCTGTTGGAGTCGGCGGACCAACTAGATGTACCCAGTATTAACAGGATAAGTTCTTAAAAATCCGATTTCCTCTCTGTTGACTTCTTGAGAATACTGTTTGCAAAACTCACTAAAAGGCACTTAAACAGCATCATCACCGAGTCCTCAGAAAATCATGGAGCAGTTCCGAAACATGCTCCTGGGAACGGACACAGGGCCTATCATGGCACATGAGTGGCTGGGACAAGGTGTAAGCAGAACATGTGTGCAGACATGCACATGTGTAGTGCGTGGCATATAGAAAATGCTTGGCATATAGAAAACATATGCTCAGTCACTGTTAGCTGAACTCCATGTCAGTTTAGGGCTGATGGCGGCTCAGGAGTAAGATTGCTGGATGGTACTACGCTTGGTGACTCTGGTGGAAGAAGTGGTCGTGGTGGAACTAGAATGACCAGATTCTTCTAAGCCAGCACTGGGAAGAGGGCCAGCGCTTCTAGCTGCAGACCCTGTGGTCCTCTGGGTCATGACAGAGGCTGCCGAGGGAACTGGGTAACTGGACGGCAGGGAAGCAGGTGCCAGCACTCTTTCGGTCACTGTCACATTCTGTCCTACGGGCACAGCCAGCGTGGGCTGCATGCCTGACTTGGGGGCAAGGATGCTTTCTCGCTCCTGCACCATAACATAATCTTGCAGGTGCTGGGGGCCGTCAAGAGGGTTGGGCACGCCCCCACTAGGCTGTATGACTCTCTCGGTGACTGTGACACTGCCGTCATTAGCAAAATGCTGATCTACCAATGAGGCAGCTGGAGCATACACCCTCTCTGTCACCACAAGGCTCTGGGGCTGTCTGGGAGCCAGGATCACAGTGCTTGGTGGCACAGGGGCACCTGTGGCATAGGAAGTTTCTGTCACTATGATATTGCTAGAAGCCAAAGGATCGGTGCGAGGTGGCACCACCTTCTGACCCTGCCTGGAAGACACGGATCTCTCGGTGACTATTTCCTGAGTTACGGTTTCTGCATGTGCTTCACGCAAAGGCTTTGACCTGTGAGCGCTGCTGCTGCCGCCGGAGGAGTAGGCAGTCTCGGAACTAACTGCAGCTTGCTCATAGAGTGGATACGAGGCTGTGTTCACTCTTGTGTCTGCGACAGGCTTTTGCCTCTGCTCAGTTTCTGTCTCTATCCCTATTTTCTGACCCAGGCAAACCTCAGCTAATGTCTTGAACTTAAGCCCCAGGTCATCTAAAAAGCGGTCATCGAACTCTCCTTCGATAAAACTGCAACAGCCGATGGAGCCGTGCAGAGATGCCGTTTCTTCCTGAGAATACACCAGGAGGCAGTCCTTGGCCAGGCGCACGTCATCTTCGTCAGTGTAAGAGGCTGCTTTCTGCAATGGAAATAAAAATGCAAACAGTAAGCGACTCAAAAATAAGATTCTACAGTAAAAAAAAAGAAAGCATTCATAGCCTCATGGAATTAGGAAACACCATCAGAGAATGAAAACTGAGGGACCACACACAACACAGCAGATCTGGATTCCTAAAAAGTATCCATTTTTTTTTTTTTTTAAATCATGAAACACAAAGAAAGGCAGGACGGGGGGGGGGGGATGGGTTTCAGAGTAAAGGTGACTAAAGCAGCATGCATCGAAATGGAATGTAGGAACCCAGAGAGGAAAAGACATTGCTATTATGATGCTCAGCTACACTGAAAAGATGGACTATGCAAGTGCTAAGTGTCTACGCTTTTTAGCTGTGATGTGGTGACGTAAGAGGATGTGTGAATGTGTGTGTGAGAAGTGGCGGGCAGGGGAGAGGCCAAGGGAAAGAAACGGAATGAAAAGCAAACAGCAAATGGGGCAAAAAGCTGGGGGAAGATTATACATGAGCTCCAAGTTGCTACCTTTCTCTGATAACTTTGAAATCACACCCACACACCTGATACTGTCTTCAGCAGGATTAGAGCAGAAAGGGAAGATGTGTAAAACACAGCAGACTTGAGCAAGCAGTGAGATGACGATGGGAAAAGACGAGACCACATCCATGTCAGGGTGACTTGCAGCTGGCAGAGAGGACAGTATGAAGGGGAGGGTGGCAGTAGCAGAGGGGACAGCAGACCCGTGATGTGCAAATTTAGACGAGGGGACAGAATCACTGTGGAAAGGTGCCCAGTATTGCTTGGGTCTGGTGTTGTGGCACAGTGGGTTGAACCGTGCACTGCAATGCCAGCATCCCGTAAGGACACTGGCTTGATTCCTAGCTTCTCTAATTCCCATTCAGCTGCTCCCTGCTAATTTACCTGGGAACCAGCCATGATGGCCTAACTGCTTGGGCCCCTTTCATGCTCCTGGCTGCTAGCTTCCAGCTGGCCTATCCCTGGCTGTTGTGGACAATGCAAGAGTTAACCAGGTGAGAAAAAGGCTGCTCTTCTTTCTTCCCCTCTCTCTAGCTCTGCCTTTCAAATAAATAAATAAATCTTTCCAGAATTATGATAATGGCTGTAGGGTGTGTAGCAATGCTCTTTATTGCTGATACTAACAATCTGTTCACTTGCTCCTTGTCCTGATTAAATTGATTAAGAGGTTTATTCATTCTATTGATCTTAAAATAATCTCTTTGGTTCTCTGGTTTGCTTCCCTCTTTTTTTGAATTTCTCAGATTTTTGTTCCAGAACTAATCACCTTTTACCTGTTTGCTCTGGGTTTAGCTTGCTTTTCTTTTTCCAGGTCTTCATAGTCAAGCTTAAGTCACTGACTGGAGACTCACTTTCTAGAACAAGTGCCATGAGTTTTAGTACAAGTTTCGCTTGAAGCATTGTTTTAGCAATGGCTCACACATTTGGCAAATAATACGTGGTTTAATTTTCAGCTTATTCAAAGTGCTTTCTAATTGCTTCTGTTATTAATGTATAGTTTACAAATATTTGCAAAATAGATCTTATATGTTTCTTTGTTACTGGTCTCCAGCTATTGGTAGGGAGCTGGACCATGGTGGTGTAGCCAGGAGTCGAACCAATACCCATATGGGATTCTGGTGCTGCAGATGGAGGCTTATTCTAGATGCCACAGTGCCAGCCACATGCTGCAACTTTTCTCCTCATCTTTGGAGATCGCTAGTAGTTGGGTCAAGTAGCCTCACACAGAAGGTGATACATAAATGGACTGAACTGACTGGGTTTGTAGGTCACGCCTTCTCTATCCTCCTTGCTGGGCTTACCCCTGAAATGTTGTGGTCCTCTGTGGGATTGTACTTCCTGACTCATTGATCAAGTGACTTTTGCTCATGAAATGTTGAGTGTAAACAAGGCAGAGGCTTTAGGAGCCACTGCTTAGCTTAGCCATTGCTGCTTCTCTGTGCCTAACAGCAGCTTCCAGGGCGCAGGTGTGATCTTGTACTCTCAGCCTGCACTTAGGAGCGGGGCAGGGCAGGGCAGGGCAGGGCAGGGTAGAGCAGGGCAGAGCCGAGAAGAACAGGGCAGAGTTGCCTGGCAAAAACACAGATGGGAGTGAGAAGTAAGCCTTTGTGAGAACTGAGATTGTGGGTCTATTATCACAGAAAAACACAGCTCGCACCGGCTCACTCAGGAGTTACATCTTGATCTACTCGCTGCCTTTAAACATTCCCCTTACAATGACTCTCTAAAACCCAGGAAACCCCCAAAGTCCTTTTTAGACACAAGGCAAGGATGACCCTACCTCATTCACATACAACCGTGCCTCCCCCAGCCCCGAACTTACCTCAGTGAAATAATCTTTCAAGAAGTCGTCATTCAGTGCAACTGCAGCTGCTCGTGCTCCAGCCAAGTCCCTGGAAGAGCCGGTGGCTCTCAGGCTTCTCATGGTTTCAGTGCCCAGGCTGGCCCCTGCTGCCCCTGTCACCTGGGCAGGCGCCGCAGAAAGAAGGCTCCTGTGCTCGTCCCACCGCGTGTCCACCTCAGACATGTCATGCTGCCCCTTGGTGAAGGAGGCGGAGCTACTTCCCTTCATGGTGGCTTCCTTGGTGACCATGCCACCCACACCATTTCTTACTGCCAAGTTCTCCCCGTGGTCCACAGCCAGAAGCGATGGCACTACCTGTGAGGGCAGACACAGGCGAGAACTGGGTCAGAAGGACTGAAGGTGCCTAGTGCTGAGCCAAGCGGGCATCAGCAGGGCTAAGTTTTTTTTCATGGAGGCAAATTAGGAAAAGCATTTTGACTTGAAAAGTTCTATTTGGGCCTTGGGAAGATCTACTTCTTGTAACCCAAGGAGAAAACAAAAGCCACGCTTTCCTGTCCCACGTCAGTTCATATGCAGTACTGGCACCAATGGCAACTTTACAGGGACTGATACCTTTTCCTCTGATTATAGAATATTTAGTTTAGTTTTTTTTTTTTTTTTTAACCTGGATACAGTATTTCTAGGCCTCTATTGCTAGTTGGTTAGGGACAGCTATGTAGCTAATTTCTGATTAACATGAGTCCAACAAAAATGCTACAGGCAACTTATGGGCAGTGTGCTGAAAGGGTGGTTCTTTGCTTTTCTCCCATCTATTCGCTGAAATGCAAGGCAATAGTGAGGTCGGGGAATGGATGGGAATAGAACTTAACCAGCAAAGAGCAGTGAGGGGGGGCGCCTGGAGCCAGACTGTGGCACCGTCAGTGTGATGATCCCAGCCTGGCCACACTGATGCTTACACTGCGGTTACTCGGAGTTCTGACACCTGACAGTAAATCGTGTCTTATCAGAAACCACACTCTTGGCACATGTGCTGAGAACAAGGTGAAGATGCAATAGTGAGACAAAGAGAGATGGTTATCAAGTAGTTAGGCATGGAGGTTCTGCAACATTTTAGTTACCAAAGAAGCCATGGATTTGCCCCTGCTGACCCTATGTTGGGGTAATGAAAATGGGGTAATTCCTGGTTGTGAAAGCCCATGTATTCCTTACCGGGACTGACAGGTCCATTGAAATCCCTGCACACCTTTGCTCTTCCCGATCCTTCCTCTATGTTCTCTGGGCCACCCTCTGACACACACTTGAACTTGTAATAGAGCACATATCACAGCAGAGTAAAACTGCTGTCACTTGAACCTTCGTGGAGGTGAAACGACTTTTACCCCTTCGTGATTAAAAACTTAAGAACCATTCCCCAGGTCCTTTAAAAATCCATAAAACATACAAGCTTCATTGACACCTGAGGCACTGACCTTGTCTTCGGGTGGCGCCCCTTCATTGTTCCAGGGGTGCAGCATTTCAATGGTGCCAGGGATGGGGGTGAAGCCTTTGGCGCCCTCTCCACAATTGCACATCAGCAGCATAAGCGGTACAACTGCACGCAAACAAAATGGAGGGCAGAGGCAGTTAATCCTGGTGGGTTTTTTTTTTATATAAACAGTGTGTTTATAGTAATCTATTTTGACTTTCTCTTCTTCATCTGATTCAATCTCACTAGGGTGTTTTTTCTCATCCCTGTTTTGGGTGAGTTAGACCAGAGCATAAAGGCAGAAACAGGGATATTTACAAATGTAAAGTACTTTTCCATTGCAGAACAAACTAATACCACTGAGTGGAATGCCAAGAGTGCATTAGTTAATACCCAGATCTGAGGCTGGTGCTGAGGTGTAGTGGGCAAAGTGGATGCCTACAGCACCGGCATCCCATGTGGGTGCCAGTTCAAGTCCGGGCTACCCCACTTCTGATCCAGCTCCCTGCTAATGTGCCTGGGAAAAGCAGTGAGAGGTGGTTCAGATGCTTGGACCACTGCGTGTATGTGGGAATCCTGGAGGAAGTCTTGGCTCTTGGGCTTGACACTGACCAGCTCCAGGCATTCTGGAGAGTGAATCAGTGTATGGAAAACCTTTCTCTCTTTTTCTCTGTAGCTATGCCTTTCAAATAAAAGGAAATGAATGTTTAAAAAAGATAACACACACATCAGAAAATTTAAAGATCAAATTTTTTGCTCATTCTTTTTTGTTTAGAATGGCAGAGTGACAGAAAAAGCGGGAGAGACAGAGATATCTTATCTTTGCTGGTTCACTTTCCACAAGCTGCAACAGTCACAGCTGGGCCAGAAAGAAAGCAGAAATCAGGAGCCAGAACTCCATCCAGGTCTCTGTGGGGGTGATGGGACCCATGTTTTCGGATCCTGATCTGTTCTCTCCCAGGCAGGAAAGCTAGACACTCGGATACAGGATGTGGATGCCTCAAGCAGCGGCTTAATGTGCTACACCACAATGCCTGTCCCCCTGACTACTCTCTTTTTGAACCACTGTAGTGAAAAGAGCAAATATTCCTAAGGATATAAAATTTTTAATGTATTCAATTATTCTAGCATATTGGAACTTGTATAAAATGCCAATCTAGAGTTTTACATATGTCATGCAGGTCTATGGCTTCCAAATGTGGACATGTAAAATTTTATGCCAAAAGGAGCTAGACACAATGCATAACCTCAGTTATGCGTGATACAGTTTACTAATATAAAATTAATTTTGATGAATTTAGCTGTCATCTGTTATTGTTTCCCTGTTCATCCTCACAAGCATTCTAGTGTAATTTAAGAACAACTGTAGGTGTGGGGGTTGTGTGGCACAGTGCGTTAAGCTGCCACCTGTGAGGAGGTCATCCCATGAGTACCAGTTCAAGTCCCAGACATTTCACTGCTGGTTCAGCTCCCTATTGGTGTGGACCCCTTCTACTCATGCACGAGATCCGGATGAACTTCCTGGCTCTTGGTTTCAGCCTGGCATACTTGACCACGGTGGTCACTTGAAGAGAGAATCAATAGGTAGAAAATCTATTTCCCAGCATCTCCCTTTCTCTCTGCAACTGTTCCTTACAAATAAAACAAATCTTAGGAAAGGGTGTGAGTGGCTGTCTGCAAAGGAACAGGTGTCTGACACAGCAGTTAACCTGTTGCTTGGGAGTCTGAATCCTGGTTCCACTCCTGACTCCAGCTTCCTTGCTAACGTGCAGCCTAAGCAGCAGCAGTGACAGCTCCAGTCACTGGGGTCCCCGCCACCCATGTGGAAGAAGAGGGCTAAGTTCTCACCTCCTGCAGACATGTGAGGAGTAAGCCAGGGGATGGGACAGCTCTGTGTTTCTGTCTCTATCTGCCTTTCAAACAGATACTTTACTTCAAAGCTCTTTACAAAGAGGAGTATAACCAGTGACTATAAAACTAACAGATCCTGAGCAGTGTGCTCACTTAGAGCATTAAAAGCACTAAAGGGTGGTTTTGGAAAGACTTACGTAGCAGGAGCAGGAGGGCCAAAATCAGGAGTGCGACGGCTGCGGGTCCCAGGCCCACGTAGGCGTCAGAGCGCTTTTCTGCACAGCCCAGGCCGTGCTGACACTGACAGACTGTGAGCTGCAGCACCTGCTTTTCAGAGCAGCTGAGGCCCTGACTATCTGAAATCAAGAACTGAATCTCACTTCTCCCAACCTGCTTTTCGGTTTGCTGCAACAGCACGCTGGTACCTGCAAGGAAGCAGAAGGAACGAAGATGATGACCAAGGAAGGAGACAAATGAAGTCACAGAAATGCTATTTAATTGCTGATAATATTTAGCTGCAGTTATACAACTTGATCTTCCTTCTCACTGAATTTACGCTGTTTTTTTTTTTAAGATTTATTTATTTTTACTGGAAAGGCAGATATACAGAGAGGAAGAGAAACAGAGAGGAAGATCTCCCATCCAATGGTTCACTCCCCAAGCAGCCACAACAGCTGGAGCTAAGCCAATCCAAAGCCAGGAGCCTCTTCTGGGTCTCCCATGCGGGTGCCTGGTCCCAAAGCTTTGGGGCGCCTTCAACTGCTTTCCCAGGCCACAAGCAGGGAGCTGGATGGGTAGCAGGGCCGGTGGGATTAGAACTGGAGACCACATGGGATCCTGGTGTGTGCAAGGCGAGGACTTTCACCACTACGATATCGTGCCGTGCCCAGTGTGTGCTTTTTAAAATTTGACCACATACCCCCCAAAATCAATTGAATTAGCAAAGGAATAGATGTAGACACCTACTTTCATGATGATTATTTTTAACAAATACACGATGCCCACCAAATGCTAGGAACAGTTTATGTGCTAGGCACACAGTGACAAAGTGGTGAGTTAAATGACATTTCCAAGGACTTTTTTTGCCATTTTTCAAAAAAATTTTTCTATGCTTATTTTTGTTGACTTGATAAATAGAGGGTGGTGGGGCAGGCTTCCTATCTGCTGTTTTACCCTCCAGAAGTGCAACTTACGAGATTTTAAAGTGTAAAGATGATAGGAAAGTTTTACTTGTTGACTTATTTTTATTGAAATAAACTAAACAGAAAACCAAATATACTACAATTATAAACAGCGTGAAATATTGAAAGCATTTAAGCTGACACTTAAAATATCACAACAAATCTATAAATCAAAAAGAAACAACTTGGGGATTATATTTGGCATTTCTAAAAAAAACAAAACACAAAGTCTTAAAAACAAAATCATATTCTAAATTATATTTGGAATTTTTAACAAAACCTGATCACTAACTTTTAAAAACAAAATAATACACTAGATAGTCTTGTTTTTCATTCTGCATCCAAAAGCTCATATCCACAAGAGAGATCTGTGCAAGCCATGGGCATCTGGATGTGTCTACACGGCCTGGGGGAAGTCAGGTGACCACTCATGATGTCTCCATCACACAGTTGGCCCTCTACACCCACAGGTTCTACACACACCTGCAGATTCAAACCACTGTAGACCAGAAATATTTTAACAAGGGGAAGATGCTGACCACATCTCAAATTGGAGTTGCCAGTTCAAAATACTGGCTGCTCTGCTTCCAACCCAGCACCACGCTAAACCTTCCCGGGAGCAACAGTGGCTGGGTTCCACTATCAACATGAGAGACATGTTCCTTTCTTTAGCTGGACACAGCCCTGGCTGTTGTAGCATTTGGGGAGATAGAACATCAATTTGTCTCTTTGTCACTCTCTTAACTAAATAAATAACACTTTAAAAGCTGAAAAATTCTATATTGAGTCCAACACTTTTTCTTGTCCTTAATTCTCTAAACAGAGTAAAATGACTCTTTGTGTGGCATTACTTTGTATTAGACATTAAATGTAGCAATGATGAATATATGAAAAGATGTGATCAGGTTATACAGAAATGTGTGGATTTCCATGTAGGGTACCCCAGCATCTGCAGAGGGCCTGGAACCAATGTGCTACAGATAGTGACAGACCTCTGACTTAGAATAACTTATTCATCTCTAGTAAAGCTAAAGTTTCCTCAGCTGTGAATAGGGAGTGATGTTATGAAGTAAGGATTAAAAAACAAAGTGCAAAGGAAGGGCTACCTAGGTGCATATGGGTCCCTACAAAGCACTTAATAAATGCTATCTGAAATGCAATGATTGTTGCCATTAATTTAAGGTCTTTAGAAGGTGCCTACCACAACTGCTGTATTTAGAAAGGCTCGGTTCTTTTCAGCTTAGAAGACAAAATTCCTCCAAGAGCTATTTGGAGAGTAACCAGAGACTTTTAAACACATTACATAACTTTTACTTTCTTCACCACACATAAAAGCCACTAAGACATAACGCTTGCAGGTTTTTAACTTTGATACGACTGTATTGGAAATCAAATTTCTGAGAAAGAACACACTCCAAAATACTGTCAAACTTCCTCTTTAGAGCCAAGTGTAGGGTACTGATCGTGCTTACTTGCTTGCTGTGCTATTCTCCATCTCTCTGCCATTCCTGGAGGTGTGTCAACGATGGAGAAGGTGAAGGGATCACTGTTGAGGTGCCCATCCAGGTCCACTGCGGTCACATTCACAAACTCCATGTAGTCGCACACGGTCTGTACCGGCTCTACCAGTGTGGGACAATTGTCATTGGTGTCCTCAACCGTGATACTGACGGTGCCCGTGATGGTTTTCCTAGGAAAGTCTTACAAATAAGAAAAAAAATCACGTTCAAGCTGACCATATTGCTGACATTGGACGCAGTATGGATATTCCAGCCAATGGACTGGGAAGATCCTGATGACGTGGGACCAATCCTATCCTTTATATTCAGGCCAAATAACATCTTCTAACTCACCAAGTAAGTGGGAATGTAAAGACCTATGCTCTGGGGAGACAGCCAGAACAAAGGTTTGAAGCTTGAAAGTAAAGACAAAATATAAAATACTGGAAGATATAGCTGTGTATTAACTTACCTTCTGATACAGCCAGAACTTTTACGACATAGACACCATCTTGCACGTATCTGGATTCAAAATCTGGGCTTTTGACAAGTTTAATTTCTGATGAGGCAGAATCCACAGAAACCCAATTATCTAGATCTTCAAATTTCATATACCTGTTATAAAACAAACAAAATTAATTTAAAAAATTTTGGACAAAGTGGAATCTCTTAATATGTAGAACTCCTTCAAGCTTAATTAGCACATTATATGTTTTTTATGGGTACTTGCTTTGAATATTTTTTAATTTCTTGAAACCAGTTTAAAAGCTTCTCTTCAGTGTAAATTATGTTTCCTGGAAATCCAATTTATTCTGTCTACAAAGGCACAGGTGACTCACCTTGGCCTATGGCGCCAAGAGATCTTGTTAAGTTGTTATGCAATCTGTTTTGTAACTTGCAAATTAATCTCCTTTGTATCTGAGTTAAACTTTTGGAGAAAAATTTAGTCACACAGTAAGAGTAATTGGAAAAAAGTAGTCTCCTATACTTTTTATATTGGGATGTCAATATTTAAAATTCTCAACTTGAAAAAAATGATAACTGCCTTAAATGGGACTTTCTAAAATGTTTAGACTGTTGTTAATTATTAGCAACAAATTGGTCAGAATTGTTTGTAAGTGAAATCAATGCTGACCAATGATTTTTGAAATTTATTACTTCAAAGCAAAGAGAATTAGCATGAAAAAAATCAGCTACAGGAAAGCAAAACTAAGTTCCTATTACATTTTCAAAAATGTGTATAATTAATAACACCAAGTTTAACATACACAAATATTTCTTAAACATGACTTGGTTCAATTAATCAAATTGGTTACTTATTTTCTATTAAGTGGATGTGTAGTACACAGTGTTATCCAAAATTTCAATCATGAACTTGAACTACATGTTTCTGCCTTTTACTTTTTTCTACCTGAAAATGATTTGAATTTACACAAATTTTCCTGAATTTCACATCTAGAATTTTAAAGTTTGGATTTAAGCTATTGGCCATGGTTTTCTAAGATTCAACCTTAAAATAAGAGAATTAACAAACGGATTATACTTGATAAAGGAATGCTCTGTGGATCTAATTTTAGATCTTCTCTGTTATGAAAATTAGACAACATTTAAAGTAGGATCGAAACTCCCACACTAAAGCAAACATCCATAAACAACTGACACCGAAGAACCTAAGTGATTTCTGCCTGGCTTGCTTGGCTGGGGGCTGTGTGGACTCCAGGTCTGGCAGTCTACATGACACCTGGCAGATCACATAGGCAGAGCACTCCTCAGGGAGGAGGTCCTTGGTGTTAGATAAGATTCACTGCCCTACAGCCCATCAGTTTGTACGTTTTGAAAGTTGCTTGCTTCAAATCCACCCATGGAAGCCTGCCAACTTGCTCTTTTTGAAAGTTAAAAGTGAAACTGACCAATCATGACTGTATAATTAAATGGAATTGGCCTGAAATGTATTAGAGCCCTGTGCTATTGAACCTCAGGCTCACTCTTTTTTGCACCTTCTGCTGTAGTTTTTCCTGCTTTGATCACCTTGGTAGCGACAGCTACTGCTCCCTTGACCTGCTGGGCTGGGAGCCTAGGTTAGTTTTGAATAAACTGCCTTTGTGTGTTTGCATTGACCTCAGACTCCTGATGATTTTCAGGGGATCGCAAAATCTCAGCACAACAACACACAGGAACAATCAGACAGTAAATTATGACAAATTAAACAGAATGATTCTTCTGATGTTCCTATCAAGTTTCAAAAATAGTACTAAGGTGAATACCAGCAAGCGATTTAATTTAGCTATACCTCTCATTTGTAAAATAATAGGTTTAGATTTGTTTTTAAGATTCTTCCCATTGTAAAATTTTGTAATTATCTGCCAAAGAATAAAATCAAGTAAATAAGAAGTAAGGAGTATGGTTCATTTTTCTCCCAAACAAAATACATCATCTTTTCTTTCTTTTTTTTTTTTTTAAAGCAGAGAGACAGAGATAAAGAGTTTCCATCTGCTGGTTCCCTCCCAAAATGCCTACAATGGTCAAGGATGGGCCACTTTGAAGCTGGAAGCCTGGAACTCAATGCAGATTCCCTTGTAAGTGGCAGGGAACCAACTACATGAGCAAGCAAGTACTGGGTGCCATGGTTAGTGATGTTAGTGATAGCAGCAAGCTGGAATTGGGACTTGAACCCACGTACTCCTATTTAGGACACATGCCTCCTAAGCAGCATGTTAACTCCTAGGCTATAACCCTTTCTAGAACACATAATCTTCAGATACATCCAAAGCCTTTACTACCAACTGCAGCCAAAATTAAATAAGCAGAAAAATCTTACTACAAAGACGTAGTATCTTTTTAAAGAATTTACTTATTTGAAGGTAGAACTTGCACACCTGAGCATCTCTGGCACTGAACGAGAAGCCACGACAGCTGTGTGTCTAAGGCACAGGTGAAGGTTCTTGGGATTCAGTGAGAGTAAACTGCTGCCAGATCTCTGTCACAGCTCTGCAGAGCACAGCTCTGGGAGTGATGATGCACATTTACTTCAAGATCTTCCAGGCAAACCTAAGATGTCGCTACAGAGTGGACACAATCCAATTCCTCTCAGAATAGTCACAGCATCTGGAAGGTTCTCACTATGGGTATTCTAAGTGAAGGCCATCTTAAACATTAAGAGAGGTTCATCAGTGCCTGAACCAAAGTGTAGGCTAAGGTTTATTGCAAATATAACTGCTTTTCCCCTATTTAAATGTGTTATGCAACTTCTTCTGGTATCCAAACTTATTTTTTTTAAGATTGATTTATTTTTATTGGAAAGGCAGATTTACAGAGAGGAGATACAAAAATCAGCCATCCACTGGTTCACTCCCCAAATGGCCGTAATGGTTGGTTTTGAGCTGATCTGAAGGCAGCAGCCCAGAGTTTCTTCTGGGTTTCCTATGAAGGTGCAGGGTCTCAAGGCTTTGGGCCATCCTTTATTGCTTTCCAAGGCCACAGCATGGAGCCAGATGGAAAGCAGAGCAGCTGGGATATGAACCAGTGCCCATATGGATCCTGGGGCTTGCAAAGCAAGGATTTAGTCACTGAGCTATCCTGCTGGACTCATATTCAACCTTATTTATCTCCTTCTTTCCTACTGTCCAATATTCTTCTGGGAATGTTATAGATTCTAGAAAGTTTTTCTTTAATCTTTCACTTTTTTACTTTCTAACTCTTTCTACCAGAACACCTTCCGTGGTTGAGTCACCCAGCTTCATCTTCACACAGGTTCCTGTGGCCTCAAAAAGGGGATGCTGGTGAAAACTAATCTCTAAATCATAGGAACAATTCTGAGAATCTGACTTCACAGGCCTTTGGGTTAGTGTCCTGCTGATGTGTAAAGAATAAAGTGCTTAAGCCTAATTCAATTTTGGAAAATCATCACTTAACAACTCGGGGCTCCTCGGGACACCTGCACCCCATAGTGGAGTGCCTAGTTCAAGGCCAGGCTCCTCTGCTGCTGATTCAGAATGCAGAAGGCAGCTGGTAACGACCTGGGTATTTGGGTCCCTGCCTTAGACAGACCCAGACTGAGCTCCGAACCATGGGCTTTGTCCCAGCCCAAGTCCTGGCTGATGGAAGCATTGGGGACAATGACCCAGTAGATGGAAGATCTCTCTTCGTCTGTGCCTCTTTCAAATAAAACATGAAAATAAGTCTAAAATATATGAAACAAGATAAAACCATCAGGAGTTATTTAGCTCAAGGAAATATAGTCACATCTATCTCTTACGTTACACGGGCTGGCTGTCCAGTGTCTTCATCAAAAACTGGAAATTTCCCGAGTGTTCGGCTTTGGCTGGTCGTATCCATGCCTTCACTGACCTGGACGTGGATTGTGTCACTTTTAAAATAGATGCCTTCTTTCACATTTTTCACCTTTACTTTGATGGGGATGCCTGTTGGCCTGAATGTATTACGAATTGATTTGTGGAAAGCTGCTTTATTAGTGACCGCAATGACAAAGTCAAGATTCTTCACTTGTTCATAATCTACTTCCTAGAAAGCCAAAGTAAGGAGTCTTTTAAATGGGACAACACTCAGAAAGCATAGCACATATACACAAATATGTTTATAGATACATTAACTTAAATGTTAGGAGTGATCCTTTAATACACATGGGAAATACAGCTAACTTACCTGATTAAGAACATGTGAAAATATTGTCAATTTGCATAGTTAATGCTATGGATATCTAGGGAATATGCATCACTTTTTCTATAGGTCAAAATCATTGTTGAAAACATAAATTGTGTATCCTTAACAATCTAAAGTGATGTCATTCTTAATAATAAACAATGGGCATTCAATGTAAATTAAATTCGCAAAACTATGTACTATTGGTTCACTGGGGTAAAGAGTTACATATGTTGGGATAGTACTGTGACAGAACTTCTTCTGCCTGTTAAAATATGATCAAAATGGACACAAAAGAAAATGATTAAACAAAATATTCCTTGTAACTGTAAAGTCTTTGTGAAAGTTATCTGAAGTTCCTCTTGTACTGGAAGGGCTGGTTTTGCCAGCATAATGCATGCTGAATGAGAAATAAAATCTCCTGGCAGATGACATTAATATTCAAAGATTAAGACCATGCAAAAAATAAAAATGAGCTAGGTCGTGGGGCCACAAAACTTGCTTTGTAGTGTTCTCCATGAAGAGCCACCGTAAGGAGGCTGTGACTGCCATGTTGCAGAGCCAGTTCTAGTCCCAGTGCTCTGCTTCCTGTCCCATATGCATCCTGGCTGGGGGCGGAGGGAGAAGCAGAAGATGATGGACCAAGTATCTGAGTCCTTGTTGTTCACCTGGGAGACCAGGTTGATTTCAGCTCTCGGGGCTACTTGAGACATGAACCCATAGATGCACGATCTCTCTTAGTTCACAGTCTCCTTTTTATTCTGTTGATTTCAATGTAGTATTAATTTTCTCATTTTTTTAATCTATGTTTTCCTTGGCAGAAATAAATACATCTTCCTTCTTTGTACCTTCACAGTGCATTAAGAATACTTCTAGAGGCTGGCACTGTGGCAGAGTTGGGTAAAGTGTTTGTAGCACCAGCATCTCATTTGGCTGCCAGTCCAAACCGACTCCACTTCTGACCCAGCTCCATGCTAATATGTCGAAGAAAGCGGCAGAGGATGGTCCAAGCGCTTGGGTATTTGCATCCATGTGGAAAACCAGGAAGAAGCTCTTGACTGGCCCAACTTCAGCTGTTGTAGCCATTTGGAGATTGAACCAGAGGATGGAAGATTTCGGTCTCTTATCTTTATAATTTGGCTTTTCAAATAAATACATCTTTTTCATACTTTGTTTTCTCTTATTCTTCAACACTGTCTCTACTTATGTGTGTTTCCGGGTTTTTGTTTAGTAAGCATTTGGCACAGCTGCACCTACAATTATTTCTTTCTATAGTAGAGGATAAAGTTTACTTTTTCTCTGATAAAACTGTCCATGTACTTAATCATAAAATATGTATTCCCCTTAAACATGCTAAGTTATTTTGTTTTTGCTTTTTAAAAGTAGGTCAAACACATTTAGCAACATAGCTAAATGTGTGATTATTGCCACAGCACTTTCACCTCATTTATTCTCACCTTGTCTATTATATATAGTTTTTGTAAACATCTGAAAAGTTCTAGAATCAATTTTTTATTTGTGTGAGACTTAATGAAACAGTATCTTAAAAGCCATAACTTTGCATTTCATTTTAAAATCTGGTAAAATGAGTCTAACACAAATCAAAAATACCCTGGTGCTATGCCCCATCCACCTTGTAACCTACAAACCTGTCTTTTCATTCCTGTGTATACAGTTCTGTGAGGGCTATGAAATCCAGATGTTTAAGATTCACCTGCTTAAGATGATTTGACTCAGCTTGCCTTTGCTGATTTCATTCAGCAGAGAACAGAAGATTTTTTTTTTTTTTACACTGTGACTCTCTTCCGGTTTATTTTAGAATCACAAGTAGGTTTCTATTAGAAGTCAAGTTTCTGAGCCTCACCCATTACTTTTGGATAATGAAGACTAAGAATCTGTATTTTTGGCCTGGTACTTTCCTAGGTAATTTTCAGATGCATTTAAACATTCAGTTGTCATAGCTTTTCTTTTTGGATGTTATAAACAGGGTTGGACTGTATTGCTAAGTAGATAACTAGAGGTAGCTTGTAAGGGGCCTTCAGTGGAGGCAAGAGACATGGTATGGGAATGATCTCATCAGGTGGGGACTGCAAGCAATAACCATGTTGATGCTATGCTTTCTGGCCAGGGTTAGAGTCCCCAGATCGGAACTTGGGCCTCCCTGGGAACACTCACTCACTATAGAACTCAGGCAAACAGGGGTGGCCCATACCTCAAATAACTACGGTCCCAGCTGAGTATGCACAACACACGTGTTGGCTACCCACGCTGTATGAGAACCAAGCCATCCTGTCCCTGGTTGAACACTGTACTGACCTTCACAAGGGTCACAATGCCCTCGTTCGTTTGAGCATCAGTCTCTATGTGGAAGTGGCCTCCTTCATTTCCTGACAGAAATGTAAAATTTGCCAACCAATTATCAGTACCAACTTCATCGGCATCCAACACTTTCAGGCGGATCACTTCCACATTGGCTTGATTTTCTTCAACTGTCGCTTCATACTGCAAAACAAGACCACATGATTTTTAGCATGATACAGACAAGTGACAAATGGGACTAAAGTGTGAATAAAGAGGTATGTTTATTATTAAAGCAATAGTTACCATTTCATGTTCCAGTACAGGTATATTGTCATTGACATCCAAAATACGAATCTGAACTTGAGCCTGGTTTACTGGTTTGTCAGTTATTTGTTCATAACCATCTTTTGCTTCTACTACTAAAGTATAGGTACTGTATTGCTGCAGAAAAATAAAAAACATTCACCTGGGGTTAAAAATCAATCTCTCCCAAGTCTGTTTTTTTCTGATTTAGTTTATTCTATCATTAAGAGAAACACTACAGTGTTTTATGGTAAATTTCAGAATACGATATATACAGTGTTATTCTTCTGAAGATGCTATTCATTTGTAGCCAAAGAGCTGAATAATACTTGGAAGTTGTTAACAGTAAATTCTTACATATGTTGGGACTGGCACTGTGGCACTGTAGGTGAAGCCACTGCTTGCAATGGTGACATCCCACATGGGTGCTGGTTCAAATCTCAGCTATTTCACTTCTGATCCAGCTTCCTACACTTGGGAGGGCAGTGGAAGATGGCCCATGTGCTTAGCTTTGGTCCTGGTCTTGTCCTGCCGCCTGCTGCCTTTAACCTGGCCTGGTCCTGGCCCATCTGGGGAGGGGATGGCCAGATGAGAAATTGTCTGTTCTTTCTCTCTGTAACTTGACCTTTCAAATAAATCTTTGTAAAAATGTTTAAATGTATCTCTGATGACATGGTGACACTGTTAGGTGACGATTCTCTCCTTACAACAGTCTGCACCAAGAAACACTGTTTAAAATGCAGTTTATTTTTCTCTGGCTGTGCTGGCTCGAGGCTGAGCTAGGAAACTGGAGCCCAAGGAGAGCTGGCTAGTGCAGAACAGACCTCGGAAACTTCTGGACCCTTCCAGAGTGACAGATTGCAAACAGGGCTGCAGGATGATGTCTCCTGTCAGTCACAATAAAACCTTTTCCTCTGGGGATCCCTGCTGGCTGCCACTGCATTCCCTGAGGCTGGGTGCAGGGCGGCCTGTGTCCTCCGTGGGGCAGGGGCGGGGGCGACCACACCACTGGCTGCCTTGGCTCTGGTCCTGGTCTTGTCACTTACTTATGCTGGATACACACTGTTCATGCTCACTTTCCTTGTGTGTCAAATGACGGGGTGACCCCATATGCCTCATAGGGTTCCATGTGGACCGAAGGGGCTGATTCACATTCAGGGACTGGAGAGGCACTTGCAGTAATTGCCTAATCAGTGAGTCATGGTTACTGGTTCAACTTCCAGGCTACAGAGGCAATTTATTAAAAATCATAGTGCTGGGCCTGGCGTGGTAGCCTAGTAGCTAAAGTCCTCAGCTTGAACGCAGAGGGATCCCATATGGGCACTTGTTCTAATCCCAGCAGCCCTGCCTCCCATCCAGCTCCCCGCTTGTGGCCTGGGAAAGCAGGCGAGGATGACCCAAAGCCTTAGGACCCTGCACCCACGTGGGAGGCGTGGAATAGGCTCCGCACTCCTGGCTTTGGGTTGGCTCAGCTCCAGCTGTTGCAGCCATTTAGGGAGTAAATCAACAGATGGGAGATCTTGCTCTCTGTCTCTCCTCCTCACTGTATATCTAACTTTCCAATAAAAATAAATCTTTTAAAAAAAATCATTGTGCTAACTCCATGAAATACTCAAATTCATGTGAAGAGGCATAAACTATACTTACTTGTAGGAATAATCATATTCTTTATAAAGATCCAATGAACATGCTGGGCATCATCTTTCCTGCCTAGACAGAGTAAAATCATTTTTTCCAAGTGATATGCAATACAGTGTACTTGAGCTGATACTTGAGGATAGTATGGTGTTTTTCTAAGATTTATTTATGTATTTGAAAGGAACAAAGACAAAGATCCTTCATCTGCTGGTTCACGCCACAAAGAGCCGCAACGGCCAGGGCTGGGCCAGGCTCAAACGGAAACCTGAAACTCCATCTGGTATCCCATGTGGGTGGCAGGGCCCAACGACTTGGGCAACCTTCTGTTGCTGTCCCACGCACATCAGCAGAGAGGGCTGGATGGGAAATGGAGCAGCCAGGACTTGAACCAATACTTAGTGACCCAGGCAGCAGCTTAACACATCACAGCACAATGCCAGTCCTAGCAAGCTGATCTTGGGACCATTAACATTTTATTTGTGTGTGGTGTGTGTGTATGAAAGGCAGATTTACACAGAGAAGAGGAGGTAGAGAGAAAGATCCTGTATCTGCAAAAGCCAGAGTTGAGCTGATTCGAACCTAGGAGCTAGCAGCTTCTTCCGGGTCCCTCACGTGGAGGCAGCATCCATATGAACCAGTGTTCATATGGGATCCTGACAGCCGCAAGGCAAAGAGTTAGCCAATAGGCTACTGTACTGAGCGTTCTTGTATACTTTTAAAACCTTCATATATAAGCATTTAATAATAATAAAAAAAGCTATTTCCCTCTTTGTAAAATTTTTCCTTCAAGTTACAAATGAGGAAGTGAAAGGTCTGAGAACAGTCTTCTGACAGGCATCCTCCGCATTGTTCCTGTCATTCGGGCTTCGAGGGGCGTGTTCCTCTGCAGGTATCTGTATACCCTAACCAGGACTCTCGCCTCCACACAGGCTCTGGCTCCTGTCGTTGTGTTACAGAACTGCAAACTGAGGCACGCTGCCTTGGAGCTCTCTGGGCAGCAGCAGCCTGCCTGGAGAGTTCCTACTACAGGGGTTGTCTTTATGCAATTTTCGGTTTTCTGGAGTCTACATATTTAAAAAGTAAAAAGAAAAACCAGGTGCTAATTAATTTCAAAGAAATCAACATTTTATTTCATCCATGCTATCCACAATACTATCATTTTAACATGTCATCATTTCAACATGCCATTAATGCAAAAAATACTGAGGTAATAACCTTACATTCTTTTTTTTTTTTCATATGAAGTCTTCCAAATCTATGGCATGTCTTACATGTCTCAATAGTTACATGGCAGATCTCATTTGGACTGGACACAGTTCAACTGCTCAAAACCCGCACATGACTAATGGCTACCAGCCAACTTATCTTTAAAAGAGGATATTTCCAAGGCTTAGATTATCATGAAACAAAATTTAAAAATCACAGGGTAACATAGAAGAGAAATGTAGAAGGGCAGTAGAAAACTTAAAATACAGAAGATGAAAAAAGTTTGACTTACCTCTCTGTCCAGGGTACCGGTTGTGTATATCTCCCCAGTATCTTTATTCAGGTAGAACACTGAAGGAGACGCAGGCTCCTGCGACACGATTCTGTAGGACACTTTAGAATTCATGGTATTGGGCTCATCCGCGTCTGTGGCATTGATTCTCATCACAAAAGTATCTGGCATTTGAAATCAAAGCATCCAAGATAAGCTTCACCTTTTACTACACCTATGGCATATGTTGTAATTCTATTTACAAAATGAACAGTATTTTATATTATTCCAGAAAGGGATTCCAGGAGCTGATCTACATCACAGTTTATCATGATCAAACAAATAAGCTAAATGGAGCACTGGAATCGGGGAAAATAAGAGGAGAGCAGGGCTGATTGGAGGACAGCCTTGGAATGTTGCCACAGAAGGACCTGACATTTGTTCAACATAGGAACAGCCAGTACCAACAGGTGGAGCAGGTACAAATAGCCAGTACCAACAGGTGGAGCAGGTACACAGCCCTGATGTTTTGAAGATACGAAAGAATCAGAAGACCAATTAGATACAAACAAATCAGTAGGTCCTCACGTAAAGCAGTGTGAGGGAACAGGCTGTCAATCAACCTCAAACTAAAGCAAGAGAAGTCAGAAAACAATAACTACACCCCACGATCCAGAGCAGAGTATCAGCCATGTTTGTAGCCAACATTTTCAGGAACACAGTCCCATCCCTTTATGGGCTGATATGGCTGTTTTGATACAGTGTAATGCTGTGTAGGTGTTATAGACTACCAGTCATTTCAACCTGCTAGAAGGGGAAAAAAAGATAGGGTGTAAACTCCTTTGAATTTATCCTAAGAAAAACTGCTACAAACTTAGCACAATAGGTTTATTATTATTTGTCCTGTGGGTAATCTCAACTTCTATCAACATGGGGAATTTAGGAGCCAGTGTGGCGATGGATCAGGCAAATTCTCCACCTGCAGTGCTGGCATCCCATATAGGCATCAGTTCTAAACCCAGCTGCTTCATTTCTGACCCAGCTCCCTGCTAATGGCCTGGGGAAAACAATGGAGGGTAGCCCAAGGTCTTAGGCTCCTATAGCCATGTGAGAGACCTGGAACAAGCTTTGGCTTCCTAGTTTTGGACTGGGCTATCTCTGGCTGGTACAGTCATTTGGGGCGTGAAAGAGTGGATGGAAGATCTCTCTCTCTAATTTTCTTTCAAGTCAAAATAAATCTTTTTTTTAAAAAAAAGATACAGATTTTAGCATTAATTCACACAATGGAGATAAAATGACCATTCATGAATAACAGCAGACTCTTACTTAGCGCACTTAGCTCTTCAATGGACCCAACAAAGACGTCCTGGGTGAACACTGGTTCATTGTCATTGATATCAAGAACTTTAAGGTTCAGATTTAATGGTTTCTCTACGTTGTTTCCTTTGCTATCCAAAGCATAACCTGTAAGCTAAAATCGTGACATAGTGAGATCATAATAAAGCTAAGGCAATTGAAATACTATAGCTTTAAAACAAAACAAAACAAAAACAAAAACAAACCAAAACAAAACAATAGCACATCGACCCATGCTTGGCCCTGGTGGGTTGTCGCCTATGTAGGAGGCTGGCATGCTAGCATGGTGGGTTGGTGCACAGCCATAATCCTAGGCCTGGGACCCATGACTGGTGTGGGGGCTGTGGACTCTCCGTGGAAGGGGTTTGGGAGATGTGTGGGAGTGGGGGGCTGCTGAAGGAATATTTTACAGTTGTGGAATGACTTCAGGGGGGATCCTACGAACTGGGCCACTGCACTTGCAGTTGAGTGACTTTGAGGGGTTCCATGGATCATGCAACTCTCAGGTAGAGGAAGGGGCTGAGACTGGGTGGCTTTGGAGGAGGAAACTGGAAAGCATTTCTGGGTCAGACAAAAGCATCCACTCACGTGAGAGCCCTGGGCTGGGTGACATTATCTGCTGCCTACTGGTGCACACAAAAGCTAGGCCTGGAGGACCTGGCTGGAGGACCAGGCCACAGCAACCACGAGTGAATGTCGGGGCAGGGAGTGGGCTGTGTGGGGCTGAATCCAACATCAACCAGTAAGCCAAAGAACCAGGTCTGAGGGCAGATTCTGTAGGGGATTTGGGGCTCATCCCTGTGGGACTGCAGTACCCCGTGGTTTGCATGAGAGCTGGGGGTGGTGACATCACCCCCTGCCTGTGGTGAGCCAGGCATCACCACAGAACTGACACTCAGAGGAACTGGGGCTGGGAGCAGGCTGGGCTGCAGCACCCACCAGCACACACTAAGGCCAGGACCTGGGGTGAAGAGGAGATGGGCTGTGCCAGGAAGGGGTTTAGACCCGCCAGCACTCAAGAGATCTGGGTCTCAGAGTAGGCCTGATGGGGGAACTTGGGGAACTCTCCTACTAGGCTATATCTTTTGCTGGCAAGCATGAGAGTCAGGTCTGGGAATGAGATGTGCCAGGAAAGCCTGCAGCACTCACTGGCATGTGTGTGGGCTGGCTTGGGGAGTGGGCCAGGCAGGGCCCATAGCACCCGCCGTCATAAGCGGGATCCAGGATAGAGTGCAAGCCACACCAGGTTAGACTACTGCACCCACAGGTTCACATGAAAGCCAGGGATAGGGGCAGGCTGGGGCAGGGCTAGGCTGCAGCTCCTAAGAGTGAGAGTTGGCACTTAGGGTGGGCTGGACCAGGTCAGGCTGCAGCATAAAATGGAGAATGCTGAAACTAGGAGTGGACCATGCCAGGTGGGGTTGGAGCAACTACTGGTATGTGCAAGATCTGGAGCTGGGAGTGGGCCTGGTTGAGGAGCTAAGGGGACTCTCCTGCTAGGTTGCAGATCCCTCTGGTGAGCATAAGAGCCAGGAATGGAAGGTGGACCTGCATGGACAGGGCTACAGCATCTTTCAGCAAGCATGTGGCTGGGTCTGGGGTTATGCCAGATTGGGCTAGGCTCCAGCACTTGGCGTTCTTGAGAGCCAGAGTGAGTGTGCAGCACAGAGTGGACTAGGTTATGCTCCAGTTCTCATGACAGATCTGTCTGGGGGTGGATCAGGCAGGGCTATAGTACTCGCTGGTGAAGGCAAATGCTGGGACTAGAGGTATGCCATGTCAGGCTGGGCCAAGGACCCACTAGTGTGCATGAGATCTGCAATTGGGAACTGGTCTGACAGGGGATCTTGGAAAACTTCCCTGTTAGGCCACAGGCCTTGCTGGTGAGAGTGAGAACTAAGGCTGGGTGAGCCCAGGCTAAGTATGGCTACAGTACCTGCCAGTTCATGTGAGGGCTTTGGGTGGGCCAGGAGAGGCTAGGCTGCAGTACCTGACAGCATGAGCTAGGACTGGGCACAGGCCAGGTGGAGCTAGACGATTGCACTCACTGGTGAATGCTATCAAACCAGGGCCATGCCAGACTGGGCCTTAGCACCCACCAGCACACACAAGATCCCGGGCTTAAGAGCAATCTAGTAGGAGAGCTTTGGGGATTTCCCTGCTGGCTACTGTTCCCATTGGTGAGCATGAGACCTGGGACTGGGGACAGACCAGGCTAGGCAAGGCTGCAACAGCTGTTAGCCTACATGTGAGCTGGGTCTGGGGAAAGTCCAGGCTAGGATATATCACTGCATCTGCTGGCAGGAGCCAGAATAAGTGTAGGCTGGTTAGAATTTGCCATAATAAAACACATTTGTAAGCACCAGGACTGGGTGCAAATTATGTCAGTACCAGGACTGGGTACAAGTTATGTCAGGCTATACCACATTACCCCTTGGTAAGTTCAAGATCCAGGACTGGGAGTAAGCCTAGCAGGGAAACTGTGAGCTGCTAGGCTGCAGCTCCTATTGGTGAGCATGAGAGCCAGGGCTAGGAGCAGGTCAGGGGTGGACAAGGCTGTAATACATGATGACGTATTTGTGGGCCGGTGAGGGTTGGGGGAGTGGGGTGGGCTGAGCTGAGCTGCAGCACTCACGGGATAGTTTGCAATAGTTGGATGGGATCCTAGGATGTGAGAAAGGCTGGACTACCCTACTGCACATGCTGGCGTATGTAGGAATGGGGGCTGAAGATGGGCCTGGTGGGATTACTGTGGGTCGCCCTGACTAGGCTGCAGTTCCTGCTGGTGTGCATAAGAGCCAGGTTTGTGGCAAGCTGGATTAAGCTAGCCCGTGGCTCCCATAGCTTTGCATACAAGAAGGGGCGAAGGATGGAACTGACCAGGTAATTGCATTCACCAGTGTGTAGGCTGATGCAGGTGTCAGACTAAGTGAGATCCTGCACTAGCTGCGTACATGACAGTAAAGTCTGGAGTCACCCCAGGCAAGGGTGTCTGACTTTGGAGTACATGTGTTGGGACTGGGCCTCCTCAGCTACTTATGCCTGTGCAGTGGATAGTATGCTCAGAAGCAAATGCGGGACATGACAGCCAGCTCATCTAGCCTAGCAGAGGACACTAAGTGCTTTGTCAGAAGACAGAAAAAAAGCAGCTTGGACTACTCTCCTGGCCTAGTTTTGGCAGCAAGTGTCTGGGTGTTTGGATGTTCTAAAGTGGACTTGGTCAACCAGTGGGCCTTGGAAAGATTTTTCTCAACCCTGCAGCAATGAAATCAACAGCATCTCAGAACTATGAAAATCACTCAGTAACATTCTTCCCCACATCAAGGTCTCTAAGATAACATCACATGGCTTTGCCCCATCCCTGGGTGTTGATACAGTTTGGCAGCAAGTATGGTGTCCTTCCTTCATCCCTCACTTCCCGGTGGATACAGGAGGAAAAAAACTTTGGAAACATCTGTCTCACCCACCTTCCTCCGAGTCTTGACCTGCCCTATCCTCATCAGTGGCCCAGATGGGCATGCATCCTTCTCAAATACGAGAACAAAATTAATAATAAAATAAAACACAAAAAACATTAAGAAATAGTAGATCATAACCACAGACATCCCATGGTTCTAGGGCCCCTGTGGATCTCAAGTTCCTTATCCTTTGATGTATCTAAAATCTACCCCAGGTCACTTGCCTTACCTACAATGTGAACACCATGCAAAAAGTTGTCATGTTGCATTATTTAGGGAATAATGACAAGAAAAAAAACCATTGGTACAAATGATTTATTCCCTTGTATTTTGTGTGTGTGATTTGTGTAAAATTATTCTTACCACAAAAAATGGAGTTTCTTCTCGATCAAGAATCCTGGTGATACTTAATTCTCCAGTGTCTTTGTTATATTCAAATATACCATATGGTGGCTCTGTAATCCCTTTTCCAGTGAATTTGTACGTGATTTTTAGTCCGTTTGTTTCTTCAAGATCAGAATGTATCTAACATAAAAACAGAAGCAAGCTTCAAGTTACTCTATCACTTCCAGGTGAATTTCTTTTTAAGATTTATTTATTCAAATGGCAGAGGCTTTCAAAGAAATGGCACATTGCCTGTACTAAGAGGCTGTTGTTTTCTATTCTGGAGCCTGTTTCTCTGAAAGGAGCTCTTCACACATGATCTTTACAGGCTTGGGAGTGTGGAGGTAGAAGCTGGACATGAACATGGTACATTCAGCCACACACATGTTGGCTGAGCACACACCTGCACAGTGGCATGGTTCAGGCACCAGGGTTAGCAGTGTGCCTAAGCACCCACTCTTCTCTGGAAGACTGCTCTGCTGAGGGACACTGGGGATTCATCCGGCATTCTACTATGCGATCTGTGCATCCCAACTGGCATCTTAACTCCATGGCAAACATCCACCTCTGGAATAAACTTTTCTACTAGAACTAATAGTTCTTGCTGCACTTTTGGCTTGAGAAACTGGATAGTTATGGCGGTACATCCAGAAAGGGTAGAACTTACGGAGAGTAGCTTTAGAAACAAAAATCTATGGTACAAATTTCTATATGCTAACTTTCAGAGTGATGGTACTGGATTACTATGTAATTTATCCAAAAAATGAACTGTTTGAATGCACAAGAGAAACAATTTATTATAGCAGAACAATAGGACAGTGCTAGGGGGAGATGGGCTTCTAATTGCCCTTTATTATATATTACCTTTTTTTCATTTAAAAAATACTTTTTATGATAGTTCCTTGAGTATTCTACTGCTTTGCATTACAAAGATCATAGTGCTAGATCCTTTAACTCCTGGTTTAATGTAAACCAAAATTTTTGTACATTTTTCACTAAAAAGATGGCATTTTCAGGACTGGCACAGTAGCCTAGTGGCTACCTCCTCGCCTTGCACACATTGGGATCCTGTATGGGCACCAGTTCTAATCCCGGAAGCCCCAATTCCCATCCAGTTCCCTGCTTGTGGCCTGGCCAAGCACTATAGGATGGCTCAAAGCTTTAGGACCCTGCAACCACATGGGAGTACCAAAACAAGCTCCTGGCTCCTGGCTTCAGATCAGCTCAGCTCTGGTCATTGCAGCCACTTGGGAGTGAATCAGTGGACGGAAAATCTTCTTCTCTGTCTCTCCTCCTCTCTGTATATCTGACTTTCCAATAATAAGTAAATAAATAAATAAATCTTAAAAAAAAGATGGCATTTTCAAAACATATCCTAACATTAAACATTCAGTAGGTACATTTCATACTCTTCCTAAAGTGGGAGTTATTTTAATCAAGTGCACACACGTCACACTCTTCTTTACAAGGTACCTTGGCAATCGGATTCTTCTTGGAGAGGTCCTCTCCCTCCCGAAGGGACACGGGGGCAGTGATCCAGGCCCTCTTGGCCCGCACGTGGGCAGGCCTGGGAAGCAGCTTATCTTCGCTTCCTGTATTTATGGCCTATAGCAGTAAAACGTTATCAAAAAATTATTATGCATCATAAAACATTAGAACGCTGACCTGTGATTCACTAAATGTTAAAAGTGGTGCAAGTTTTATGGCACAGCTTGTTTTTCAAAGAACAAATATTTGCATTTTAGAAAACTCTGTGAGCATTCAAGAAAATGACTTCTATCCAGGAAAAGCAGCAGGATCTTGTTTCCAAGCGCAAGAAAGGATGCTCCAGAACACAGTGGTCAAGATGCTAGGGAAGGATTTGGTGACCTTACAAACTAGCAAGTTAAAACTAAGAAACCACTTAAAAAATTCTAGTTCTAACTAACTGAAAATCGAGTTTTACTTTTCGGTGGTAGTATATGGTTTACAAACAAATTAGTGCATGCTTTAAGAAAATCTGAGTAGTCTGCTAATAAATATTTGAACAAGATTGGTAAAATTGCTTTGTAACTAAATTATGGATTTCACATTAATTAAACTTATCATCATTGCTTCCCAAGATTTTAGGTAGAAAATTGTTCTACAAATTTTAATTTTAATTTTATAAGCAAATATTTTATCCAAATCAATACAACAGATCTACTACCTTAGAGCCAGAAATCATTACTATTTAATTTTACTGACTTTGTGGTTATATACAACATATTTTTTCAAATTTCAAAATACTGTCACTGGTATCACAAAGTCAGTGTTTTTTTTTCCTTCAAAGTTTGAATTATATAACTTAAAAATGATATTAAACTGATGTATAAATGTAAAACATCCTACTTTTCATACATATTTCAGAGCATATACTGTTAATAGCTTGATACATATCTCTTATTCTTGTTTAGGATTAGATAACTGCATATGTAACCACATGTAAGAAGATCATTTTCCTATAAATTTTATTCATTTTACTTATTTACTTGAAAGGCAGAGAGAGAGAGAGAGAAATACCATTTGCTGGCTCCATCCCTCAATGCCCACAGGAGCCACACATGAGACTTGGAGCCAGGGACTCAGTCCATCCGGGCATCTCTCAAAGATGACAGGCACCCGACTGCAGGATGCAAGTCATCAGAAGCCGAACGGGAACTGGGACTCACACCCAGACACTCTGGGATGGCTTACTTACCCAAGTGGTCTTAACAGCTGAGCCAAATGGCTGCCCCAGCTTCCTACACAAATGAACTTCCACCATAAATCTCACGCTGCTGTTTGATTATTCGCTTAGTGCCTCATGGATGTTTGTCCAGGTATTGTAAACTGTCTTACCATTCTCATACTGATGGATATTTAGGCTGTTATAAAACACTGAACAACTTGGAGTTGTTCCTCTGCACCTGGGCCAACGGGAACCACCAAGCACAACGCAACATGGGCTTTAATCTAGCCAAGTATGGACAAACTATGCCATGATATTAGCTCTGCTTCTAGAAGACAGGATTAATCCTTTTGGTTCCTTACCTCAAAGTGAAGTCCATTTCCAAAGTTAAAACAGACCTGTAAAATAAAATTATTTGATATTTAACATAATTTATCACTCAATTGTTTAAAAATATTACTGATGAACAACCTATCATCTAGGATTCCACAGATGCAGAAACCTTCGTCTAATGTTCAGTTAGAGGGAAGAAACTGCATTTTCTCTGAATCTCACTGCCTCTTTCAGAAAAACAACTAATACATTAAAAAAATAATAATAATAACCTACCTTGTGAGTTATTAGCTGTTCCCTGGACCTTGGGTCCTCACCCCATGGTTTTCATCTCGTGTCACCCAGGGCCCACTTCCCTAGTTCCCAAGCCATCAGTGTTAGAAAAGCCTCATGTACAGGCCACACACCTGACTGCCCACAGCCTGAGTTCTCCCTTCCTGGGTCCCATCAACTTTCCTTTTGTTCTTGATAGGCCCTGTCATACTTCACACCGCATCACTATCTAGTACATTACTGTAAACATTATACAGTTACATCTATCCTAAAAACTACCCAATGAGCTCTTACTCTATGCATTTTGCTGCACTTTCTTTAGACACCATTCATATGCCACCTTTCTCCTGGGTTTATCTAAAAGAGCACTTTCTAATATAGTTTTCATATGTGGCTATGTAGAGTTCAGCTTAACCTATTTGGAATCAGTAAATCACCAGTGGACATTCTACAGGGCAGTTCCATTAAATAGGTCAGTGCCAGCTTTCCCAAAGTTGTCTATGATGGTGGGTCAGCCAGTTTTCATTTTCTCCCACTCTATTACCAATGCATTTGTTGTTTTCTTTTTTTCTGACCCTGAACTAGCAACATTGCTAAGGTTACAGTGGCTGACTGTAGCCCTCACATATCCATGATGGTGGGTCAGCCAGTTTTCATTTTCTCTCACTCTATTATCTCACTTTAGTATAATGTATTTGTTGTTTTGTTTCTGACCCTGAACTAGCAACATTGCTAAGGTTACAGTGGCTGACCGAAGCCCTCACATATCCATGCTAATAGCTTCTCTTTCCACAAGGATGGAGGTTTCCAGGGTAACCATGTTTATATTTGCCTAGGGGCTTGAAGGGTGACACCTGTTGTGTCTGAATCTGTTTCATCCTCAAAACTGTGCTTGTATGCCTATAAATTAGTCTTTACCCAAGACATCCCAAACCTCAAAACACCCCCAAAACAGGGACCAAGCCACTCTATCAACTCCTTAAATGACCCAACATTTTACCTGAAACTGTGTCTTCAGTCCCCCTCTTCTTTCCGTTTCCCCAGGGAAGAGGTACTCTGACCCCTTCCTAAGGCTAGCCATTACCGAAGCACTTTATGCTCAACTCTTAACTTCTTCCACATTGATATTCTCAAGAACTTTGTTCCTTCCTCTAACCTCTTATTTTCCTTCTCCATTGGTTAGTCAAACTTGATTATTCCTTCTTACGGTAATGTGGAGACCCCTCCTTTGTTTCTGCCACAAAATCTCACACCCCACATCCTTCAGTTGTTTCCAAATGAAATAATTGCCTATATTTACGGCTTTGTGTCTTCCCACCTTCCATTTATGTATTAAGCCATTGGTATCTCAGCTCCTGTGGATCCTTGAAGACCTGGCTGGGACATCCTGGGGAACAGGGCTCTCCCTAACATCTCAGTCTCCTTAAGAGCTTCCTGTAGGCTCCTGACACCTGGTGGCTCCTTCACACTGTCCTCCTTTGTTCTCCCTCCTTAGTCCTTGTGCGAAAGAGAAATGCAAGAATGGAGGTTCAGTCTCTAGTGTGAGCCTGGGCGGGGCCGATGAACCACCAGGTCTAATTTCCTATTTCAGTGTGATATTTCTTCTCCTTTCTACTTTACCCAAGTAACAAGGATCAGATGCAATGCTGTTCTACCCAGACTTACCATGTTTCCAAGAGGGACATGGGAGGGAAAACAAGTGAAAGTAATGCCTAGCCAAATTATTTCTGTCAGCTTTTTTCCTCAGGAGAGAATTTTTAAAAGCCAAATCTTTGGAGCCAATGTACTTAAGGCACCATCACCAGGGAAAACTCACAGAATTTAACATGTTATTGGGCCTGGTGTGGTAGTCTAGTGCTAAATCCTTACCTTGCATGCACCAGGAACCCATTTGGGCACAGGGTCATGTCCTGGCTGCTCCACTTCCCATCCAGCTCCCTGCTTGTGGCCTGGGAAAGCAGCTTAGGACGGCCCAAAGCCATGGGACCCTGCACCCACATGGGAGACCCAGAAGAAGCTCCTGGCTTCGAATGGGTTCAGTTCCAGCCTGTACAGCTCCTTGGGGTGTGAACCAGTGGATGGAAGATCTTTCTCCTCTCTGCAAACCTGACTTTCCAATAAAAACAGTTTTAAAGATTTAGCATATATCTTTAAAACTAATAGCTGCTGCTTTTTCTTAAGGATTTTTAAAAATTTGATAGATAAGTTACTGAGAAAGACAGACAGAGAGATTTTCCATCTGCTGGTTTACTCCTCAACTGGCTGCAATGGCCAGGGTGAGCCAGCTTGAAGTCAGGAGGCAAGGGCTTCATCTGGATGTCTCCTATAGGTAGGTGCAGGGGCCCAAACATTGCTGCTACCCTACTATCCTCCATTGCTTTTCCCAGGTGCATCAGCAGGTAGCTGGATCAAAAGTGGAGCAGTCAGGAGTTAAACTGATACCCACAGAAGTCAGTATTGTGGGTGGTGACTTCACCCATTATGCCACAGTGCCAGCCCCAGAATTTCTCATACACACACATACAAAGATATAAAGATTTATTTATTTTTACTGGAAAGGCTAATTTACAGAGAGAAGGAAAAAGAAAAATCTTTCATTTGCTGGTTCACTCCCCAAACGGCCCCGAAGGCTAGAGCTCAGTGAATCCAAAGCCAGGAGCTTCTTTTGGGTTCCAAGGATTTAGGTCATCCTCCACTGCTTTTCCAGGTCATTAGCAGGGAGATGGATGGGAAGTGGTGCAGCAGGAACCAGAAGCAGTGATTGTACGGAATGTCTACACTAATAGGCAGAGGATTAGCCAAAGCAGCCATTGTGCTAGCCCCTTCGCATATTTCTTCAAAGGCTGTGAGTCTCTTTTCGTTGGCATCAGCCATCCTGAGGGATTGACTACACTGAGTATTTATCATCTTTATTCCTCCTATAATCTTATTGGGCATAGCAAAAAAATACGTGTTACTTTAAGTAAATTTTATTATTGCAACCAAATGCCTTGTTTTAGTAAGATATATAGCGGGTCAATTTGTAGTTCTCTAGTCAAAAAAACTGAGTGTCTTTACCAAAATTTGCTTTCTAGATATTACTTACTCACAAATGCCAAAAAAAAAAATTGCATGGTTATAGAAGAAAATGATAAGAAAAATGTGAGTAGTCAATCCCAGCCAGGACTAAGCTGAAGCCAGGAGCCCAAAACTGCATCTCAGAGATCCAAACATTGGAGCCATCAGCAGCTGCCTCCCTGGGAGCAGGAGCTATATCAAAAGTGGAAAACGTGGGACTTGAACTGGGCACTCTGATCCTTAGTGGTCATTAATGTGGTGAGGTAGGCAGCTAGTTCAGGCTCACAGCTTAGAAGTCACTCCCTGCCTCCCCACCACCACCTAGGAGTTACCTCCTGCCCACCTGTGACTCCCACCTCTCACCTGAGAGGGGGTGGTACTGCATTGTTGTATAACCACTCCCCTCACAAGCCCTATTAAGGTTCATGGTAAGAAGGGGCTCACTCTCTTGGTCGTGTGCTTCCATTGCACTCCAACTCTTGGCCAGTACCTGCTTGCTCTCTGGCTTCCCACAGACAGACTCTGAGGACGGGTATCCACTGAGCATGGCTCCCGTGTGTCTGTATTCCTCACCCTCTGTTCACTGCTTGTGTGGGACAATGAAGATGGCAATGCTAGGATGCTTTGTGTTTCTATTTTGTGTACTATCGGGAGTTCTAGGAGAGCTGAGGCTTAGCAGTGGTGGAATGTGGGCAGAGAAGCCAGGGAAAGGTGAAGGACTGCAGCTTTGTTAAATGTTTCCAGGTCATTCGTTGCATGTCTCTTAGGATAACTTATATTGTTGGGGAAGCTGGGAACACAGGTCTTCAGCTTAACAGATGGACTTCAGGGTAAAGACCATTTGTTCCTCTTGGGGTTACGACTGACTAGATTGCCATATGGACTTGTGATTTGTTAGTTCTAGTGGGTCCTGTTATCACCAAGTTTGGTTAATAAACACTCCTTAATAAACCTTATACGTCTCTGGCATGATCTTGCTTATACCCCACAATTAACTTCACCTGGCTGTGTCTTTAATATATTTCTTTTCTTTTAAGAAGCTATTTTAAAATTGGTATGTGTGGAAACTGGCAGACCTAATCCATCTTGTCTCCATAGTTTCTTTCCTTTGTTTTTTTTTTTTAAGTTTTATTTATCTTATTGGAAAGGCAGATTTGCAGAGAGAAGGAGATGCAGAAAAAAGATCTTCCATCTGTTGATTCACTCCCCAGTCTGCTGGTACACTCCCCAAGTGGCCTCAACAGTCAGAGCTAAGCTCATTTGAAACCAGGAGCTTCTTCCAGATTTCCCAAGAGGGTGCAAGATCCCAGGGCCTTGGGCTGTCCTCTACTGCTTTCCCAGGCCACAAGCAGGGAACTGGATGGGAAGTGGAGCAGCTGGGACATGAACAGGCACCCATATGGGATCCTGGTGGATGCAAGGAGGATTTAGCCATTAGGCTATCAGGCCGGGCTCCTTCATGCTTTCTTAATCTTTTTTCCATTTTAATTTTAGCTTACTTTTATTATATGTAATTCAATTTTATTCTTCCTCTTTTGCTATGTCATGATACCTTTAAGTATCAGAAAGTTAGGTTTGTACTTTGAAATGAATGAATATGCTATTGTAATAATTGGGGAAAAATAATAAGAAGGAAAATAAGGACGAGGGAGAGAAATCCTTATGTTTTGAAACCTGCATCATGAAAACTGTGAAACCTACTCGTTTTATATAAGTTAAAAATAAGAGTAAAAATATTCTTATTTTACGGCTATACACCATGACTTGTTTGGGAAATCCCAACTTAAAAGCAATGCTTATAAATAACCCAGAAATACACATATCCCTGAAGCAGTGTTACTCAACAGCAGATTTAAATATAAATTCTATTTTTACAATTTGCTAACACAAAAAAAGTATATCAGTATCTTCAACTTTATGAGTTCTGAATTCGAACTTGATAGCAAATACTCAATATCTGACCACATCAAAATATATGGGTTCATGCTCTGCCAGTTTTTCTAGAAGTTCTAGCTAATCTTAATGTAAAAAGTAAGCTTTTAGGCCAGTCATGCTGAACTTACCTTCAATGAGGAAGACACATTTTCTTTGATATTTTATTGACACAAGGACTCTTAAAACATGGATTTGAGCAACATGATGCTACACTTGACATCACGTTATGAATTTCAGGTTAAGTTTTGGTAAGTATGGAGAGTGCCCATTCCCTACCCTCTTAGTACTTGTGAGATGAATGTGAAAGCATTCTGAATCAAAATGCAGTCACATGTGTCAACCCTACCAAAAAATATGCAAAGATGGGTGGCTTTAAAGGAGGGGTTCTTGTAGCCATCAGCTGGTACTATCACAGAGGACTCTGTCAGGCCACAGCCTGCACAGCAGCACCACAATCTTCGGCAACAAGCACTGCCCAATCAGTCTCATACTAACGTCATCCTGGCTGTTAGTCACTGTGGTGAGAAATGATTATTTCAGAATATTTTATTTATTCCTGTTCATTTTTCCTTTAAAAACTGTCTCCCGCCTCAGCTTTTCTGAACACAACCACAGTCCGCTGTGATGTGCATATCTCCACTGCAATGTTGCTGCTCTTCCCCAATAAATATCATGCACTGGATTTGTGGGCAAGAGAGTAAGAGAGAGCGAGAGAGAAAACAAGCATACACGCCCATGTGGTCCATCTTCTCAAAGCTCACAGTAGCTCTCGGGGTTGGGCCAGCCTTAAGCTAAGTACCAAGAACTCAATCTAGGTCTCCCACATGAGTGTTAGGAACTTGAGCCATCTCTGTCTCCCTGAATGTGCACCAGCAATAAGATAGAACCAGGACCCAAGCAGGAGTTGAAATCATGTACTCTGATGTGGGACATGGCCATTCTAACTAGTAGCTTAACCACTAAGCCAAACACCCAGACCAGCATTATTCTATACACTGAAAAATCAACATTATTTTATGGTCAAGTTGCTAGACCCTTAACCATTAAACAAAACCCAGAGTTGCTAACAAATAGCTAAAAGACGACTTC